GTAGATATTTTCAAAGATGGAAGAATTGTCCCTGTCAACTATGTTAGTTGATTCATATCTTCACTAATTGTCATCATTGCAAAGTTTTCAGTCCCCATATGGATTGGGGGATATAATAGGTCATGCGCTGTCCCTGTCCTTTGTAGCCTTTGTTACCTTAAGGACTCTAGTTTTCCATTTATATGTTTAAGTACCAACCTTACTGGCTTAAAAATGTAAGCTTTTAACACTGCTCTCTCTGTTCCGTATCCTTCCGATGAAAAGTGGAGTTGGGTTGCAGCACAGGAGAGAAATTCAGAAGGGGAATATTGAAGTAATGACTGCAGTAGGAGAAGAGGAAACCTATTTCCCTGGCCACAGGCACTGGCACCCTGGACCACAGGGCTGGCAGCTTCTCCAGGTGGCTGCAGCCTGGGTCCTCAGGGCAGGTAACTTGTCCATCTCCTGGGCCGCAGCCTGCCTCAGGCACTGGTGCCTGGACCAAAGGTGGGCGGCTTCTCTGTGTCCCCTGTGATGCAGTGTGGGCGGCTTCTCCGGCTGGAGCTGGACTTCTCTGTCTCCCCTGACTTCTGTGTCTCCAACAGGCCTGGAGAGGCCAGAGCCGGGATACTACCATGCAAGCATCCCGGCTCGTGCCTCCGCCATCTTTGTTGGGTTAAAGTGCATATCTCTGGATGGGTTGGTGGGCGTGGCTGGTGGGCGTGGCTTGGGCATAGCAAAGGTATGGTCAATTTGCATGTTCGTCTATTATTAGGTAAGATGGGTTATGATATGAATTAAGGTCTGATCCAAAATCCATACTCTTTCCATGTGGCATGGTGCTAGTATCTGTGCTGCATTTATTCATTGGGCAAATGTTTGACAGGTGTCTGCTGTGTGGGTTCCAGCTGTCATCTGGATACATTGTTCCTCTCTAGTGGCTTTCCTTCCTGGCTGGTGAGCCTTGCTGTCCTGGTTCTCTGAGCAGATACTCATTAGTCTTCTGGGCTGATTCTGATTCTTTCTGTCTTCTGAACCGTTGCTACCTGCCTTGTTTGCATTTGACATGTGGTGACCTCACTCAGGTGTCCACTGAGCCAGGTTTCCAGTTGGGGCTGCTCGGTCCTGTTTGGCCCCCAGTCCTGGCACAGACACTTGTTTGAAGTGCCCCAGCTACACTAGCTCCTTTCCTTTGCACCTTGCAACCTGGCTCCAATCTTCTTTCTCTGAACTCACCGGGCTCTGGTGGCCTGTTGTGTCAATGGGCTTCCTCTGGGGTTTCTCCCACGCCAATTCTTTCTCACCAGTTTCCATGATGTTACCCATTCCTGGTTTTCCACCTTCATTTCTAACAGCTCTTTTCTCTTTTCCTTTTATCGGGTTCCCCTTTTTTCCTAAGCCTATGGGTTACGAAAAATTATAGGCTTTTCTCTAAGACTCCGTTTCAACCTCCCTACCTGTCTTCTATGTTCCTAACAGTTCAC